AGATCTTAGATTTAAGACTGCCCGACGATGAAACGGAAAATGAATCGCTCCACCAGGTCTCACACCCAGTCATGGACATGAACTGTTCACAATCTCACATCCCGGTTCTCGAAAACAAATACAAAGCTCATCTCTCCATGTCTCACATCCACCAATCTCTCTTAGCAATTGATAGTGGCAACAAATGCTGCGCGCTCTCCAGGTACCGGGTCTTTGCGCACGCGTCAAGGACTGGTTTGGGGGTGTCTGGTGGCGCAGCGTGTGAGCTGGCGTTCTTAATTTTGTATATACTATACAAAATTTTATCTATATATATATATATGCAGTATGCAGTATATATGTATATAGGTGATTCCGTATATACTTATAGTCTTAAATCAATCCATCCATTCATCGAACCCACCAATCCAGCCCACTAGTTGGAGTTGGGTGCATAGCTAAAAGAAGAGTTCGGCTATGAGCATTTTTTTGGCTCATCATCAAACCCAGTGTGTGCGCTCACCTTTTCCCAATGGTCAAGTGCCTCAGTGGGAAGAAATCTTTGAAGAAACTTGGCAAAGGGTTGCCTTTCAAATCCGATGAGCCCAAAGATCCACCGCAGCTGCCCCGGAACATGCGGGCCAAGCAGCGAGAGTGGATCCTTTCAGGATTGAGGAGCTTCGGAGCGCCTATGGCGCTTCGTCGTGAGGGTGGTCAAGAATTTTTGTTTTGGTGCCGTATTTGATCTTTGCTGGCGTAACCAACAATCCCTACTCGTCAAACCCAGCAATTGAGGCTGTCGCCACACTAGTGAGTTTGCTCTTCGCTGTGCCCGGACTCGACTGGTCTTCGCCCTTGGACCACTTTGAATGCTTCAGTGGAAAGATGGAGGTCACCCAGGCTGAGTGGCGAGCCCCTCAACCTTATCTGTGGAGCGATTTCCTTGTTCCCAGGGAGAAACAAAGGACGAATGAGTATAAGTATCAGGGTGTACTCTATCTATAGTTGCCTGAAACAATTTGTGGGTGGTCTACCAAATCTGACAAGGCTGGGCGATCGGCCATGCCCTTTGATGTGGACATCAGCCCTGGAATGGACCTATTGACACCCGCTGGGTTTTGCAACTCCTTGTTCTATGCGGCGTCCCTTCGGCCCGGCGCCGGCCACATGACGGCGCCCGTTTGTTCGACATGGGTGTTCATGCCTCTTGTTTTTATCATTAGAAACCTTATGTTTTCTGGTTGCGCGCTACGATCAAGACTTTAAAGATACATCCAGCCATCCCTCAAATTTAAATCATGTCTGGAGCTGCTGTCCTGCCTGAAGGTCAAGAGGAAGCACATTGCGCTCCAGAACCAGACCTTTGGGGCGAAAGGATTCCCAGGCAGTAAGGGATGGCAACATCCTTGCTGCGAGAGCAATCATTTTATGTTTGATTGCTGCATCGAAATGCGTATGGTGGGTTCTCGAGCAGCCATCTAGCAGCATATTTGAGCTGCACCCACTCTTTCAACAGATGGTCAGAATGCTTCGGGTCCACAGGCTCTCAATCAACATGAGCGATTTCGGAGCGCCAACGGTTAAGAGGACCATCCTCTATTCCAGTGTCCAGTTTCAATCTGGCAACATTTTTTTGGGTATGGGGGATGTCTATAGGAGGTTTGGTGATTGAGTGGTCAGCGGGTCAGTGGAATAAAATGTGCTGTGTGGGTGGGATGGACCATGTTCAGGACCGTGTGAAGGGTTCAAACCTGTATTCGGGCTGAGGTCACCGCGAGGTGAACGACTTGCTTGACCATACCGTCGAGCCATGCCTAGAGGCCAGAGACATGGTGAAGTCTTACACGAACTACAAGGCTAAGAAGCGAATCTGCGGAGGGAAGGACTTGAAATCAAGCCAAGCTTATCCGAGACAGTTTCCAAGCAAACGTCAGTTGCGTAAGTTTTGTAATTCGTTTTGTGACTATAGCTCAACTCTTTGCAGCGTTTCTTCTTAAACTTGTCTTGGCTGCCCATGCTAAGGTTCGGGAAAGCCCTGGCAGCATGTCGAACAACCCACGTGCATCGACTCCGCCGTCGAGCTATGAAGTTCTTGAAGCAAGCCCGAAAGAGTACCAACTCTTTCAACCGCAGGCCCAAAGTCAACCGCGCCTGGGTGACTGGAGCTGATTTGGCTCCAATCTTTGATTTTCTTTCATCGCAGTAGGCCTGCCACAAGCCGTGTGCAGGCATCACATTTTCTCAATTAAGACTGGCCACGTGGCCACGCGACAAATGTGTGGTAGGGTGGCATGGGTATGCAAAGTCACATTTGCTGGAAGCAGGGGGGGCTGATCTCAGGAAGAGCGACCGTTTGGCACCTAGATTCTAGATCATATCGATAGACGTTCTCTTGCTCCTGGAAGGCTGCAACATGAACATATTTGTAGAGCCAACGCGCAAAATAAATAGACTTTTGCATGGATCCCCTCAAAAGTCTATCAATTCCTGCCGGCCCAAACAGAAAAAGACAATCTCTCCGGCCATACTGCGCAGGACCATGCCCTTTGCCTTGAAGAGACCATTTGGTGCTTCTGGCCTGTCGCAAGAGGGGTGAGGGGATGCAGTCATAGCGGACACTAGTGCGAGTTGGAGTGGACACTAGTGCGAATTGGAGTCGACACACTTGATCCCAGTAGTTTCTATTTTTTCCACAAAAATCTGATGGAAAACCATCCCAAACCGCTAGTGCGAATTGGATCGAGATTCATGCGAATAGCGTCGAAAACCTGCGATGTGTAGAAACTGATAGAAACTGATTGAGTTTTGCCCTGTAGCCATTCTGGCCTGTGCATTTTGCATCGAGGGTCGAATTTTGCCACGTGCTTCTATGGCCGCAGAGGTGATGAGGACACCCCCCC